GATTACATTGGCCGCCGTTGGTCGTATGATGAAAGCGTGTGGGGTGTTTCCAGAACGATCGAAGCTATGACCGGGACGCGCCATTGTGGAGCGGCCTTGAGCACAATCATCATTGCAGCAGGCTCCGCACCTGCTAGCACCGTAATCGTCCATTCGGCAAGGGTCCACCGCAATACGTTTTGTGGCCATGCTGGCAGGTTATTATCAGCGAGTATAATAGTCCAAGCCAAGCTGGGGGTTCTTCAGGAAGAGGGGTTTAACATCCTCTCGAGCACCACCACGAGCATTCCCAGGAAACCTCTTGCAGGGCAGCGCTTCACCCATCCTACCAACATCGAGTTCTGGCGGGCCGCATGCATTGACTCTCTCCGAAGACTGGCATAGTGACGACATGAATGATAGCTGCACGAATATTGCGGATGGCTTTGGCCTGCTCATGGTGTCACCAGAACCTTCCCCGCTGAATATTTCATGCACAGCTTGAGAGGAGTCTTGCACCCGGCTTGCTAATCCCAGTCCTCATTCGCTCTTACGGAACAGTCGAGAGCCTTGACCCCGAGGACTGGATTATCTCCAGTGCTATGCATTAGTTCACTCCTTATATTTATATAACGAGAAATATATCACATTCCTCTGAAGGCGGTACACATTACCGCAGGCTGGTTTGTCGGTATACCTCATACCACGCTGGAATCTGATCGTCTGCATAATCCCAGTCCGGCGGTCGCTGAGTTCCACAGATTTCGGGCAGAACACCACGGGAAGTTACAGAAAACGAGCGTGATGTGCGCGGTATTTTGAACATCTCGATTCTGGTCCAATGCTCCAGCCGCTTATTCACCAGGACTGAAAGATGCCCACTGTGAACTGATAGTAAAGTGACGGTGAATCTAACTTGCGCACATGCAACGCCATTTCCTCGCTCCAATGTATTTGAAGCGGGCCCTTCTTGCTGGATTGCGCACTTTTTACAGATACATCGAATGCTGCATGCTCGATGACGTAGTCAGGTGTGCAACCTGCCGAGTTTATATGTGGAGCACGATACGCATACAGAGCGCGTATCGCCAACCCGTCTAGGCCCAGACTTGTAAGGTGGTTGAGCTCCTAACGCACAGGATAGCATATCGCGTGTCGTCCAACCTTGGCAGGACAACTCCCTGAGAAGGGTGCCGAACTCGTCATCCATCGGCCGCAGAGGGTATGTCTTGTGTTTTGCCAGCGTTGCCGCGGGGAAAAGTGAAAAGGCCTTGTTCCAAGTCACAAAATTTAGCTCCGCAGTCATACAGCAGTTCGCCAGCAGAGCATAAATGGGAAAGGTGGATGTGCGTCGAACACGTATTGCCGACTCGAGCAGCTCTCCCCCGGATATTCTGCGTAGTATTGTGGTAAGCTCCGATTGATCGGCTGACCCGTCTGGCTGAGAAGAAATTGGGATGAAATCCCGCTCAAAGTAGAATTCCTCGGTGCAAAGGTAGTCTACTAGAGATCGCGCTTTGTCTCCATCCTCGACAAGCAAATCGAGATTTTCGAATTGCCGATGTTGCGACTCCAGAAAGTTCAAGGCAGGCCCACGAACGATTAGAGCATCTGCTTTACCAAGCTGATGCCTGAAAGTTCCAGGATCTTGCAAAAAATCCTTCAGGAATAAGTTGATATTGAATCGGTGGTCCAGCCGGCTCTTCACAGCCTCACGGAGCGATCGACAGACGCCCTGAAGAGCGATGAGATCCGTGACTGCAAGAAACGACATGATGCCCTCGGCAACCACAGAGATGAAGACATCATTCAGACTTTTTGAGGTTAGAATAGCCATGATGGCGTGGGCTGAAGCTAGAGGTTCGCAATTTGCACCGACGTATCGCGGGGTTGAAATACAGGATGTTCAGTTACTGGCAGCCACCGAATCTCACCATCTCGGCATGTGACTGTCTCAACAGTCAATTGACCTTAGGGTTTAGGGTTAGGGGGTGTAAGCGAAGGGTCAATTGTGTGCTCCTTTGCTACTCTACTTTCCAAGTGGTTTTTAAGCTCCATAGAGCACAACTCTCCCCTGTAAAAACTTTTGCACTTTTGTAGCCGTTAGCTGCGGCGTTTTTACAGGCCGACTGAACCTTGGTTTCGATGGGACACCTCGAAGAGGACAGCACCTTGGGAGGACATCCTCGCTCAGAGGCTGGCTCTACAAGTCCGTCCACCACTGTTGCGATAGCCCTGGTAGGCCAGCGGTTATCGAGGCTAGCATCCAATGGACATCGCAGCAGGAGGGCCATCATAACTCAATTTATTTTCGTACGTTTCGCCGGTCGCTCTTCACCACCAGGTCTCCTTTTCTCAACCGCCCATTGCGGTACGACATAAATTGCATCGGTCCCCTTCGATCTCACCCGGTCAAAACACGCTTCAGCCGCCAGCACTCGATTCTTCCTACTAAAAAGACCCGTGTCCCTCCGCAGATACTTGGTCGCTAATCGCTGCACTTCAGAAGGATCTTCCGTATCCGCCACAACCTCGTGATCCACTGTCCATTCGCCCTCTTCTAAAATCTTAAACGCAACCCGCACTTTTTCACCGTCTTCTGGCACCGCGGATCTAGCCTACGCCCGTTAGCAACACAGAGCATCATCACTCACACCAAAGTTCTTCATACCTCTATAGTTTCCTTCGTCTGGTTTCCCATCGGCGCTTCCAATGGGCTGTCGGGGGCTCCCGGCAATGCCCCTGAGAACAGTGGTAGTGATATGTCCTCCGTTGGGGACAGATGCTCCTCTTCTGAGTCAAACGCACTCCGTATCATGTGTTCTAAACCAACGGCTCCATCTTCTTCTGCACGTCCTTCGCCTGGTGATAATGATACGTTCTCCAAGGATTGGCGTCGCTCAGCACCTTACCGAAGCTCATCAATGTCTTGGCTTCCCCCGCGCATGGAATTCACAATCTGTTTCTCTGCCAAAAGCGCTTGAGACAAGACACCCTTCTCCTCCGTGGCAGCTTTGATATCCGCCTCCAGGCGCTCTCGGCATACTTCCAGAAAGTCAATATACCGTCGCAAGCCCATCTCCTTCTCCGCGAGTTGTTTGTGGGCTGGTATTGCTTTTTCAGTGAGTGACGCTATCGAGTCAACTTTCGCCTGTTCGTCTTCTGTGAACGCTCTGACTGTCATTGACATCGATGGAGGAACGTAACCGCACATCCCTTCCCCAATTGTCGGATGACCAAGCGCTTTTCTCCTCTCTTTGCTATATTTAAGATGATTAGCTATTTGTAGCTGCCACCGTCTAAACATTTTATCGGAACACCCTGACTCCCGTCACTCGCCAGGAAGTAGTCGTCCATGTTAGACTGCAGAGCTGCGAGTGGACTGACTACCTGACTGCACTCACAACGCTCCCAAAAAAACATCCCAAGCCCAGAGTAAATAATAGGTGAAGATAGGTACCATCTTGATCAGCTCCATGAACGGCCCATCAAAGCCGTAAATGGCCGGTGAGTATCACAGCTTCGGCAATAATCTGGCGATAGGCTTGAAATGGCTACGTTTTGTTGGGTTGTTCTTGGACTCTCGTGGCAGCTCTGAGATTTAGATCGCCAGGGTTGGATTTCACGAGACCTCGAATGTGCTTTCACCCCACCCATAAACCCTCCTTAACCTCTGTGCAAAAATAAATATCACACGGCCCTCAATTTTGGACTGGTGTGGTCGGTGGGCGGTGAACGACTTCTTCACAGCCATTGTATCGGGGGGGGAGAAGGTGTAAACTGAACCAAACTTTGGGATGACCGAAAATCCCAATTCCGACATAGCAGCTTCAAATGCCGACCAATTTATAGAGCCACGCGAAACCGACTTTGTAAACAAGGTCCTAAAAACCTCCGCCGTCGAAAAGCTTACGTTGAAGGTCTGTGTTGACTGCGTCGGAATTTCTGTTCCAGGCATGCCCTCCACAGGTGAAAATTCATAAGCAGATGAATGTGGGGGACGTGTCTTCTCTTTTTGCTTTCGCTGTTCCACGCGTTGCTCCCCCAGTTGAAGTGCTGCGACCGGCGGTGGGAACGAGTCTATTTCTCCTTCGTCTTTCAATCCCGTCTTGAGCTTTTGATGGTGCTCTTGGAGATTTGACAAACAATCTTCGACCAAGTCTTGATACAGAAGCCCCATCTTTGTTCCAGCTTTCTCCACCACAAACTCATCGAGCACTCTCAAGGCGGTTGCCGCGATACCAGGCTCCAGAAGATTGTCGATAGGGACAACAAAGTCGCGCAGGTCGACTGGTTTTTTAAGCTGGTTTAGCTCGGTCTCAAGTTCCTGCTGCTTGGACACAAACCCCAGTTTGCTCTTGCGAGAGAAGGGTGGCATCGAGACAACTCCAGATAAATCCATAGTAAACCCGATGACGACAGCTAAGTCATGTAATGAGTCAAATTCTCGTTCCACAATCTTCTCCCGCTCCAAAGGGTGAGCTCGGTGAAGATCGCTCAGCTTTTTCATCCAGTCGATGGCTCTAGATGCATTTGTTTCAGGCTGGCAGAGTCGCAGCATGTACTCAAGTTGGGGATTATTCCTAGTTAGGTCTGGGTTGCCTCTCATGGTAACGCGAGCATTACCAACATCGTCATACATATTAGAGACTCTCTTGAACCATTTCGATCCCGAGGCTGTTTGTACATTGCGTTTAAAGATGGATTGTGCACGCCTGTATTCGAGATGACAAGTGTTTGACAACTCTTGAAGAACGATAGCTCGGTACGCCTTGTCGAGGGTCGAGCTGCTGAGTAGCTCAAGGAGCCGACCAATGTAATTCCAAATGGCGGCACCTTGGATAGCACTGTGTATTGCTTCGAAAAAGCAAGCGCTAATATATTTGTCGGTATGAGCCGGAAATACGCGCCCTTTCTCGTCAGCAACAAGTTCTGGCTGACTGAAGAACCAAGTGTTGACGGCATGGGCAAGGACAGAAGGCTCCGAAGATAATAAGCCCAAGTAGTCTTCAAGATCAGCCCTTTGATCCTGCGCGCTAGCTGATAGATCCGAGAGAGCAGGTCTCTCCGGAACAGCTCGGAAAGTCAATTGCGACAAAGCAGATGATGCTGCCTTTCCCGATTTCCTCGGTCGCTCCTTCTGTTCTCGACTTTGCGAACCCTCGTCCAAGATGTCCTCGACGATGATGTTTAGATGTTGCAACAGCATGGTTTGCCTCTGCAAAACTAGCTCTGCGGTTGACTGAGGGATGATTTGGCGAGCTTGGATGGCCGGGGTGATATGAGAGAGGATTTCGGCCTGGTTTGAAAGAATCTCATATGACTCGCCATAGTTCTCGTCATCGAAGAACATAGTGTGACAGTCCGTGAATGCTTCGACATGCTGTAGACCACGAGTACGCATCATCTGCTCGATGAAGTCGAGATCCCCAAGCCCCCCATTGACACCACTGAAATACTGCTCGCAGAGTGTTGTGGTAGCCCGATGCTTAAGAAGCCCCAGGAGTAGTTCTGATTCTGGCTCGGTGATGTCAAGAAGGTTTATCTCTGGCAGGACGTTGCAGACGTTCCCAAGAGACAAATCCAATGAGTGCTCCAGGACGACGCCACCTGCTGCGCCCGCCTTCAGGCATGCCGCTCGTTGATTTTTATCGAAGGACCGCCAGATACGTTCGATCGCCGCTGCGTGCATGCCGTATTTTCGATGAAGGTCGCCATGCAGCTCTTTCAGTACATCGAGATCGGAATGTGCATCCATGGCGTGTGAAATCTGCACTACTGCTGTTCAGGGACTGGTTGGAAAGCAGGAAATCTTTTGTGTCAGACGTTCAGGATTCTATTGCGTGGAGTAGAGGCGACGAAGTTTGTGTCTCGTCGTCCTGCGGGGTAATGGAACTTTTGGCTGCCAATATTCTGCAGCCTAAACCCTGCTGGTGACCAATCAGGGTACGCAAACCTAGACATGCATATCTAATGCATTCGTTCCTTTTCATTACTGGCCACTGTCTACTGCGGCAACTTAATCGTTATCATTCAGGACCCGAATGATCAGAACTGCAGGCGAGCATTGTTCTAAGTCCCCCCAACGATCAGGGATTGGTGGCGGGCATTGTTCCTAGCCCCTCTGAGGGGAAGGGGAAGACGAATACGGCGGAAAGGCGACGAATGCGTCGACGTGGGTTGCTCAAGGATCGAAATCCAAATGCTGTACCAGCAGACAGCTGTTCACGAACGAGAACCGTCCCCGCCACGACTTGGAGAAACCGTCAATACTTGGGGGGGGCTCACCCTAGCATACAACGGAGGCCAGCCAGATTTCGCCAAAGATGATGGCACCCCATCAATCAATACAGACGGGTCGAACGAGCAGTATTCTCTCGACCTGTTGGAGTCAGAGAAAGATGACAAGCAAAACGCGGCGTGGTTTCGCATATCCTCTAGCCATCTAAGATTGGCATCAGGGCAAGTCCGTCGACGCTTAAACAGTGCCTACCACGGTACACTCAAAGATCAAGTATCGCTAGAGGATGGGACAACATTTGATGTGTTGCGTACAAAACAATGGGATACGAACGCCTTCCTCATCTTCTTGAACATAGTGCATGGACATAACCGACAAGTACCCGATTCTGTTAGCATTGACACTCTTGGTAAGGTCGGAGTTCTCGTGGACTATTATGAATGTCACGAAAGGGTTGAGGTGTTCGCCACACGTTGGATTGAAGCATTGAAAGGAGATCTTCCAAACGCGTATGGAGAGACTGCCATTTTGTGGCTGGCCATATCGTTGGTTTTTAAGGAGGAAGAAATCTTCAAAAAAGATGACGGAAATGGTCCTGAAACACAGCAAAAGTTCCTTCCAAGCGAACACGCTGCCACTGCCACAGCAGCTTATTAGTATTTGTGCCTCCCTGGTAATAATAGTGTCCATTCATAAACTTATGTTGATATTGCTTAGAAAACCTAGACTGCGAAAGACAACGGGCAAGCAAGAAATTACTTGGTTCGGTTTGCCGTTTACAGACGGATCTTGAAAAAGGAGAAAGAGGTTGTAGCGATGCGTGTTGCTGCATGTTGCTAGGTTCGATCATAAGGAAGCGAAAAAAGCACAAAGTCGGAGATGTTTCATCGGTTACGCCACTTGATGGGCGTAGTTTGGAAGCATTAAAGCAGGTGGTGATGGGTTTCCAATCACCGAGATGGTGTTCGCAGCAGAACAGTTACCACAGTTACGGTCACAACTCCCATGACTGTACGCTAGTGAACCTGCTTCGACCAGAGATTGACGAGATGTGGAAATCACTTCGTGGATTTGAGCTTGAAGATTATGTATACGAACATAGCACAGCTGCTAAAACGTAGGGGTATTCTGTCTCAATCCGACTGTCCCTGCACAGTCAAGTTGTTTTTGTCTAGCTCAAGACATCAAAAAGCTGCCGGTCGATTTACTACAATAGCAGGTGTCTAGCTCATCATTAGATATAGAATCAGTCCTACACACTTTTTTTAAGACTCTCCCTGCGCATTGTAGGGGTGTAACTGCGTGCTATAACTACCTGTAAGGTACAGCGGCCTACTACTGTAGCTTTGGCCTAATTTCATTAATTTCTCTCCATGTTCTGCTGAGTGTGACAATAGTTGACTTGTTTGGGAGGTAACTAGCTAGTTGGAGGCCGCGACGGAGCACAATCGAGACCCGGCCGGACGCAACCAGACAGTGCCGCGTGTTTCATCGTCCCATTACCAGCGCAGTCCAGCTCATCATGCGTGCCGCCATGGCTAAACACTCTGCCTGTATTCGCCATTACCTGATTATTACGTCTTCTATACGGCCTTGAAATTACTCAACATCGGTGCTACCTAACTTTAGACATGCATATTCACACTGCATGCCTGTGTCAGCTCGTGGCCGCTTACCATTGGGCAGATGCGAGAATGACGCAACAAGGCATATCTAGGTGCCAGCAAACGAGGCGAGAGGTATGGCCCAGACGCAGGCTCTGAGTCACGCAGCTCACCCAGCGGGACAAATCATACGATGAAGAAACAAGACAAAAACGGGAAATAGCAAAAACTAGTCGATAAAACATCGCTGCGGTATAACCTGCGGTACAGAGCACCTAGTGTCAAATATAGAAGTTATATCAAACAGCGGCTACATCAGCCTCCATCAGTTGATCTGGTGAGTGTCGCACTCTGACGAAATAGCCCCAGCTTAATCATCGTCGCGTTGCTTTAGCCTTGTATAGTACTGTACTTGGACTCCTCCGCAGGGCTCCTACTTGGCAGGGGAACACTCCACTTGGGTACGACCCGTCGCAAGACAGGACGGCTTTCCAGGCGATCAACTAGGGCAAGCATTATGCGAAGAACCCATGTGGATGCTATTACCAAATTCTTGGCGTTTACTTGACATTGGGCAGCAAGAAGGACGGAGTTTTGACCTTGTTGTGGCAGATGCAGATCAGCCTGCAGCGATCACCAAGAAGGCTGACGCATGGATGTGCGAAAATTACAAACTTCAGACACAGGAGCAAAGATCAAGTACCGAAACTACTACTTCATACATCCTACATTTCAAGAGTTCCTTACAGCGCGGTATTTTGTGCGGCAGTAGAGGGAAAGTGCAAAGCTTCAGATTTTTGCACTCGGCAGGAACGACGCAGCCAATCCGATCTCCCCAGCCAAGTTTCTTCGAGAACATAAATACACATCACGCGATGTCATCTTTTGGCGCTTTGTTGCCGGCTTGCTGGACGGAAGTGGCCAGGCACCAGATTTCATGCGCGTCTGGCTAGGATTAGAGAGACATTGCGCCATGGATTGAGCACACCATTAATGCTGTGCACGCACTCCGATCCCTGCCGCGTCTCGGCGCATGAAATGCACTCCTCTGCGTCACATGAGGCAAATCTCATGTAACATGGCCCTTTGGCTGTCCAATTCGGAAGTCCTGAAGATTTCTCGCGGCATGGGTCGCATTGGCGACACAGTGACAGTTGCAGTCTCGCTCGGTGAGAAAAAAGTAAATACCCGGGCTGCAGCAACTCATGAGCCACGGTGCCTGTTCCCTCACTGTACCGCCCAAGCACAGGGCCTGCAGGCAGCCTTCTCCCGGCCACTGCTAGCTGCGCACTGTTAAGGTGCAAGATCCAATCGCAGAGGGTTGGGGTGGATTGCTCCGGATCTGACTTCAAGTCGTGTTTTTGTAAGTAAAACTGTTTCGTCTTCCTGATCTCAAATCTCTCCTTCGTCTTTTCGGCAGCTTTTTTTCATGCCTATCTTTCTTGTCACGTCGCGCTCAAGCATGGCCGCCCGACTCGTCCGGTCTCGAGCGCTGAGTGGCCTCGCCACGTTATGCGCACGGGCAGTAAGGAAGCAGAGGAGGAGGAGACCGTATCTTTGCCCTCACTCGTCCACTTGAGCCTCGGACCTGTTTCGCGCTGCACGAAAACCAACGCTGACCGATGCCATCACATCAACAGTGCTGCTGACAATGCAGCCCGCCTGGCGGTCCCTGGCCACACCCGCACGCTAACGATAATAGATTCCCTTGGACCGCTGAGGCGGAAAAAAGTGTGAGCCCGGAGTCATGCACCCTCGCCCTATTCAAGTCCAGCAGCAACAGTTCGAGAGCCTGGGTGACATCCGAGTCCAATATGCCGCTACCAGTGAGTGACGTCGTGAGGCCTGACCCCTCAAGTCGCAAACAGCTCGGCAGCGCGACTGCTTCTTACATGCGATGGGGGTCCATGGAGCTACATGGTGGTGAACGCACTGGCCAACGCAGGCAACTACGAAGTACGCGATATACTATGCTGTAGCGAGCACCTACGTCGTCGTTTCGAGTGATCGCCAGCTTCTTGACAGCATGTGAGGGCCGGAAACCGGCGCAAGGTGACGCACGAAGCATAAAGAAAAGAATGCTAACTTTCCACTTCCTCGCACAATTTTGCCTAATCTAAACAACGTCGGGGGCTGCTACCGATACACCGAGCCGTCATACAAACGAGCCGCCGTCTCTACTTCTGACGGATGCCTGCCTCATTGAAAGTATATCCTTTTTTGGCCTCACAACTGCCTCCACCGTGCCGCCCTTCCAGTTCTTCTCCTGCCTGGCGCCCGACCGTGCGACTCTCTCTACCCTGGCTCGTGCTGCGTTCCACTCACGCCGTAGCTGCTTCATTTCCTGCGGTTCCAAGGTAAGAGTCCCGTCCAGCGATTCGGCAAGGTGTCTGGCAATCGTTTCCGCTTCGTTTTTCGTAGCCTAGGCCATCTTGCTGTTTTTTGTGCATTCGCTGTTTTTCATATCGCTGTAAATGTACATGGGTATCTGCTGCGCTGTGCCGCAGCGTTCCGGATACCGTCTTCGCTCTCTGATGTGGGCCGTCGGAGGCAAGCTGTTTATGAACAGACCGCTGTGCGTTCGCATGCGGACGCATCAAGCGGCATCATGGGACGCAGCCTCCCATGGTAGGCCAGTACTGGGTGCACTTCATTCCGATAGTATGGCTGGTGTGGTGGTGGCATGCCCAAAGGCAGACATCTGTCCAGAGCACAAGTCAATGGATCCATAAGCCGCCATTGTTGTATCGCCAAAACGGTCCCTCATGTTTTGTGGATGGCCACTGTCGCTGTGCTGGTGCTTATGGGCTTATCTGGCCGAGCGCAGAGGGCTCGCCGATGTCTAAAATATGCCGTGGCTATGCACATTTCCACGCACACTCGACTCCGAAACCTGCTGTCGCTGCATTGGCCCGCCATCGACAGGCAAGCGTGTGCCGTCTACACCGACAGCATCGTGCATTTAATCAACATCTTCTGCCCTCTGTGTCATGTAACGAAACCGGCACCAACTGAGGAGCAGAAGCACAAGCAATGGGAGAGCGAACGCACCACGGCGGTGCATCCGAAGCATGCCTTGTTACAGCTAATATAGGTAGCGACACCGGTGAGTACGTTCTTCCACCCGACGCCCGTGCAGTGGCTCACTGAGCAGCAGACGACGACTCGAGCAGTGTACAAAGTAGCAGCACGGATAGCATGACTGACGTAGTAGTAGCGGGCTTGCAGGGCAATGAGAGAGACGATAGCGAGGCCGATAGCGACGGCGGGAGTCAGCATGAGGAGGACTCCATGGATGATGATGAATCGAGAAGCGTGGACAGCGACAGCACGGGGAGTCTCGCCGACTTCATCGCGCCCGATTGGGAAATGGAAAGCGGCGATGAGGGTGAGGCCGCGGAGGACGACGACTACGAGAATGAAAGCACGGACGAGAACGAGGAAGCAGGCGACGGAGACAGTGGCGGAGACGGTGACGGAGGCGACGACAGACCCAAACGCGCCTACTTACCCAACTGCGACGCAATGGCCCGTCTCGAGATGATTGCATACAACCTTCGGCGACTCGCACGTGAGTCCGAGGCCGAGACAAGCTTACGCACCCTAGGCATCCGTAACTCGTACCAAACCAAAAATATGGGTGTCGCGGGTTTCTAACATAATAACTTTCGTGGGGTGTATTTTGGCTGCTGCCTAGAGATGCAGAAATAGCGGTTCTGATTTACCCCGCCAGGTAACTAAAACTAAGTAAAAGCGCTAGCGACACCCGTAACGGTTTGGTTTGGTAAGCCGTCAGGGCCAACGGCGAACTATAGATAATTTTGGTGAACTCTTGTTTTCTCTTCTTCGATGTTCCGTGCGCAGTTAGGGCCTCTTTCTAATGCAAGCCTTCTTTCACGTCGGAAAGTGCTCTTCGGCCTGCTCGGCGTTTTGCCACGCAGACAATGGCAACTGCGCCGTCTAGGTAGCACTTGCTCTGGGGAGGTGGGTGGCAAGTGGACTGACAGTACTCACCTAGGAAAGAGAAGGACAAGCGGGCGACCTTCTGATTGGCCAGCGATTCCGCGGGCGACTGTATTTGAAAGGGCTCCTACTTAGCGAGGACACAACAAGCCGTTGGGCAAGCGTTACGAATAAACCGTTGCGGTATGGCTACAATTTCGCGGCCGGAACCACAAATCGTGAGAGGCAGTCCGTGGCTGGCGCATATGAAGAGTCAGCGACCATCCTTGGCATTTGGTCCAAAGCGCTCGTGTTGAGGCCCGAACTTGCGAGCGAGCTGAGCTTCATGCTAAACTTGCAACATGAGAAATATGCCGATGTTGACGGTGCCATGGCTAGCATAGGGAGGAAGACGGCCCATATTCTTAGGAGCTACCTGATGGAGACCCCCTATTGGGAAACGTGGTACTACTCTCCGGACGAAAAGCGAGATGTACGTACACACGATTCATAGTGGATGAGCATTTCTAACCTTTCCGGAGGCAGTGCCCCAGGCTCGATGATATTATCCATGGGCTCGGGTATAAAGGATCTGAACTCAGCCAACTCTACTGGGATGTCCTTCGCCGGCATGAACTTGTCCGAACAGCCGAAGAAGAACAGCGACAGCTTTTTCAGCTCACCACCACACTATCGAATCTAGCAGACGGGTTTGCAACACGTCTCAGTACACTTCTACAAGCAGCAATTCGTGCTTGCGAATTGACAGAAGGCACGGTCATCCGATTCGTGAGGGCCGGCACGCTAGATCTTCACAATCTATATGTCGAAGACGAGAGACTCTTCATAATCCATAAACGCTTCGTGTCAAAGGAAGGAGTTGCTGATGCACTTGGTCTCCCGGATGACCTGAGAACTGAGGACTTTTTCTTCCATGCTGTCAACAAGCTCTTCACTGACTTGGTTGAACAGCTCCCTGTCGATTCGTTTCGGAAGGAGAATAGTACGAAGTCAATCGAATGGCAACGGAAAATGCATATCCGGTTGACAGAGCAGCGACTCTTCGATCTTTCCCGTTTAGAAATTATTCGCGTTCGCACGAGCAATCCTGAACCTGTTATTGCTATAGAGTGGCTACCAGACCTGTGGGTGCCTCACACAGCGATTGAGATCCAGTGCCACTCTGTATCGTGCGGCACCGACTTACGCACAAGCGTACTGGTTGCAGCAGACGGTGCGTCGTTACGAATACGTCCTTCCCCCCTCCCTTTGTTTTCTCAGACTTACCGGAATAGCTGCCTCGTCGAAGCTTCCCTGCCTATCTGCTAGCGGTGACTTGTCTCAGGTGGCCGGAGAAGCTAAGTCTCATGCGGCACAGCATACTTGTCGAACCTTTACAACAACAATTTCGGAGAGAAAACAGGTTTTGAATATAAGAGAAGAGCAAGAACACATGCTATTGTTCCTTCTGCCGTCAGAATCAAGGTCATTCGTCTCTTGGCAGACTGTGCCACCTGCGGGGCAGTCTGGACAAACACCGGACGACGTGATTGGTGAAATGCGCTTCCTCGGACCGCTTGGGTGTTTTGAAGCAACGGACTGTGACAAGGTCAGCTGTTATGCTCCTCTTTCTCCCAGCTTCCATCCCAGCGCTCCTGGCCACAGCAGGCCTTCCCCCACAGGGCTCTCGACTACAGATACACCAGTAAACTGGGATGCGAGAGGAGAGCCAGGAGCATCAGAGACAGTCAGGAGCAGCGGCGCAGGTTGTTCGGGATTCGGAAACGCAACATATGGTATGTTTTTTCGGACCAGATTCTCACTTTCTCACAATATCGTTTAATCAAGCCAAGTAGAATTAGGCCCCCGCCTTACTGAGCTCAACTTCTTATCCATTCATGAATGGTATGAAGGGGTGGACACGAGCGCTGCGAGTAAGAGGGCAGTCATTGGACTCCTCCCCCCCGGTGCGAGTGACAATACACCAGCACTGAAGCGGAAACAGAGTGCTTTGTCCTGTGAAGAGGCTCGGCCCTCCCGCCCACGCACATCCCGACTGCCCTACTGAGAGGTCACTGCCGGTCGAGAACAGTCTGGGGAGAGGCAACCGCTATTTTCGGCTGCAGACTGCGTCGCAGATTCTGGGAACTTGCTAGGGATGTCTGAAAGAAATAGGTGAACTCAAAAGGTGCTTGTACTTTCAGGAGAGCGTTGCAATCAAGAGCTAGTCTGAAAAGACTGCCCGTTCTAGTTTGTCCGCATCTAAGTGTTTGATTATCGATTGACTAGCTAGCCCCCACTCCACCGCCTTCCTCTTTAGGGTAGTCGGTACCACTTTCAGCACCTGCCGCTTTACAAATTTCTATAAGAGTCGGCCACTGCCCTCCCACCTGTCCCCCTCAGCCCGCTACTTTCACTTTACCCCCTTTTGTCTGCCGGCCCCGTCGCCTTCAACAGCCTTGCGCGCCATGGCCTGTCTGCTCGCCCCTGCCGCAACATTGTCAGCGGACGCTGCACGCCGACTTGCTTCCCTGCGCTCGCGTTCCAGCTGTAATTGACGAGCTTTTCCAACGCTACTTCCGCGGCAAGCCGCTACTCCTCGATGCTCCAACCAACATCCCTTCCCGTCAATTCCTAGCCATCACCACAGTACCGAGCCTGATGACGAAAAGAACCAAAAAATCAAGCATCCAGAACTCCCCGATTATCGCTCGTGCCGCTACTGAAGCTGCCGACTGCGAGAAGCATGGCAGATGGCGCATTGCCACGTCAGCTTGTCAAGGTCTGAGGCACGGTGACGTGTACAGCCCTGTGCTGCCGCCCTTCGGATACTTTTCGAGTGGCACGTGTCAAAACCGGCCTCGGTTGCTTCCTATGGCCACGATGCGCTCTCGTCAATGGCTGGCACTGGCTGGCACCTCGTGGGATAACAGAGCTAGTGGATTGGCTTCGTGTTCAGCTAACTGCAGTGCTTGCGACCTGCATTAGCTGCATCAGCTGTCCAAAGAGCCACCGATGAAGGTCCGTTGATCTGCGACCGCGTGGGGAGCGTCTGACCCTATCTGGACGTGGTGATTTGCTGTCGCAACAAAGCAGTAGCATCTCTGGGCGGCCAACGCAGCCGGTATACTCCGCTCAGCCGAATCGTACGATATTTGCCTCTCGGATGCAATGTTTCCGGCACCTTAGCTCGGGTTTCGGGAAGGATGAGAAGCTGTACTGATATTTGATCGGTAAAACATGGCCTTGCGAAGTGACCCCAACCCCCGCTTCACCCTTGTTAGCGAGGCGCCTCGCTGCTTTCTGAAAAGGAAAAGAAGGAGGTCTCTACGCAGCCGGCTGGCTAGTGCAGTGCCCGCCTGCATGGTGCCACGCCAGCTACGAAACCACAAGATGATACGTGCGAACGCAGTAGCTGGTCTGATCGGACTAACTCGGTCCGGGCTCGTTTGAGCTGCGGAATGCGAAGTTAAATAGAGGCCAGTTCCTCCCTTCTGAGTACTGGACCTCCACACATATTCTTGTTTCAATACGCACTGTTACCGCCAAGTTCATGAGACGATGCCAAGCAGATGAGCCTCCCCGACTAATGCACAAGGATGAGTTCTTCTCAGAGATCTGGCTGCTCTTCGCCAGCCAGTTCTGCTAGTGCCTGTGGCACTTTTTTGGTTCGTGGGGTAGAATAGCTCGAGATTAACCCTAGTCTGGATTCTGGTTCTGGCATTGCATTCCCAAAACGCCGATCTTCACCTCTTGAAGGCATAGCCACGATTCCATTTCCCGACAACGGAGACCGCATTCGAGCGCTCATGGCCAAATACGAGCAGGTAATGAGCGGCGATGATGGCCAGACTCGGTGTGCTAGCTCCGACACCCTGACCAATAAAGGTAGCCTAGATCAATTGCGGGCGGTCATGTTACGTGAAGGCTTACCAAGTCCTCTAGGCGGCCGCTGTGCGAGTCTACCGGGTTCCTGCGACCACGATGACCGAATAGATGATAAATTAATGAAACCGGGCGCACCGCCGGGGAGACCAACGTCACGGAAGTCTCGACGCAATAAGAAGGGTCACTCTGGGACCCAAAGCCGTGTGTAGAAGAAGGGCGCCTCGGTCAGCCGTCGCCAGGCATACGCCTTTGACCGTCTGGGAGGGGCTCGGCGGGCGGCGGGCGGCGCTATCGAGTACGAAGTTTTCTGGGCGCCAATCTGGCTGCCGCTCGATCAATTCGAAGGAGAGGACGCTGTCCCCGAGACGTGGCAAACGGAAGTACGAAAGCTAGGATTGACATTGCCGGCGACGCTGAAGACCTAAACCATGATTTAGGCCGTCGGTGTTTTTCCCCTTGAGTGTTAGCTAGCTATCAATTCCGCTCGCAAATGAAATCTTTTTTTTTTGACGACAGCTATTCAGATGTACTTGTTAGGCTTATCTTATCTACGCCCTTGTCTCCAGCGCAGAATCGGACGGTTGGGGTGCTTGACGCCAACAGGGATCCATAAAAGTATTTTACGTACCCCGGACTAATTTCGGGTAGCTTGGGAACCGTAACGGCTAAATATTTTCCCGCCCTCCTGCGCCCATGCTTTCATTCAAACTTTCTTCTGGCCTGGTTGGACTTCAATACACAGATATACATGTGTGCGTGTTGGTCAACAAGCTACGTGTTGGCAGACAAGCAGCTATGTGCATTCTTCTCGGGCCACGGATCCACCGTCTCACGGCGATTAGGTTCCGCGCAGCAGGCCCGTTTTATTTCTCCAGACCCTTTCACAGCGCGAAGGCAGATTTCATCACCCTGAATAGCAAGGGATCGCTCACCTCAAAACAAATCGATGTCTTCATCGGAGATCCTGGGCAAGCTTTCGTCATATTTAACAGAGATGTAGGCTTCGCTATGAAAGCTGCCATTACACAGCAAGCCGGCATGTCTCTTGCTTCGGACCCAGAGAAAGTTCCGTTGACATTCTTCCATGATTCAAGATATTTTGCGCATGGTACGTGCTCAGCTATTTCCACTATGATTAAGCTAACAGCGGCGTACAGATGCTACACCATATCCGCGCATCGCGATAGAGAAAGATTTGCCGCGCCAAACTAAGACAAATATGAGTCCTGCAACTCTCTGGCTTTGGGGTGCATCGCATTCTATCACGTTAGATGGAACCAAAGACCGTACGTGCTGTTGTCCCCATTTAAGTAAAATAGCAGAAGTTAATTCCCTTAATAGACAAATTTGAGGAGGCTTCGAGAGAAAGCCATAGCCGGTTGAAGGGGGCTGCTGACCTTTTACGGGATATGTGAAATCTAACTGTTGAGCCTGTGCAAGCAGGCAACGGAAGGCGGCCTGTGATTGGCTGGATTGGAAAGGGCCCCACTTTAACGGGGGTTGTGAGAAGCCTCGAGGGCTTCCAAAAGGCTAAGGCAGAAGGGGACGATTTGTACGAATAACAACAAGCAACCAGAATTTGACCAATTTGATGATATTATCCTATTCTATTAATACGAACCTATTCCAACACTAACTAGTCTTTCACACAGAATCAGTGGATTTATACAGGAAACTTCTTCTCTATTCGATATAGTTCGCGCTGTCATGCTCTCCTAGTGCTCTACAGCGTCTTTGACATATTCTTCAATCTCTGTGCTTGTATCTGTCACCCGTTTAGCTATGCTAGAGTAATATTTCCCTAGATCCTCTGATGTCCACTGGCTCGTGGCAACTAAAACGTGAGCATCAGCCAGCCCTTTGTTGAGTGCCGCCTCATTCACATCCATCGGAGATTTTTGTAGCTGGTAACCATTGATTTTGAGAAACATATCTGCTGCGAAAAGAGCCGTTCGTTTGTTGCCGTCTTGGTATGGATGGTCGAGAATAACCTTTTCAGCGAGAACTCCAGCCAACTGGAATAAATCCGTTTGCCCGTAGTGTTTGTGATTCATGGGCGAGACAATGGCAGACTCAAGCATGGCTGGCTGGGTCGGTACCGCTGTAGCAATATGCTGAGTATATAGCCTTTTAACTTGGGCTGCAGTGAGAAAGCGGTAGGAAACAGACGACATATTGAGTTGCTATTAAACAACAGAATTAGTCCTGATTTATGTTCAACTGGTTATGTGTAACTATTGAGCAGAACATTAATGTCTCAGCGGGGTGACACTTCCAGCCTGATTCCAGTTGCTTACTAACCTTCGGTACGGGCGGATTCATGTCGGGCAGACTGCGGGTTAACAATCCACAGGTCAATCAGTTTCTCCCATGTCGAAGGCAGCTTTACCATTCTGGGGGGTGGGGATATCCGCTGCTGGGGCTTTAGCCAGCGTGTGACTTTATAGACATCATCCGGTGCTGTGATGTTCGCTATGATCCCGCGCCAGAAGTCCCGCTTCACCCGACGAACTGTTCGTTTGAAAGCGCGGGCGTTTCGCCATGCTTCACCCAGACAGTCCCGGGTAGGTAGCTTGCACGTTACACAGCCTAGAACAGCTGCCACAATTCTTGCTCATTTCAATACACGACACACGTTAGCTTCTATCTACAGCCAGAAACTACTGCAACAGCGACCTACATCCATTACTGCATACTGTCCAGGGCCGCCTGTGCTTGCGGGTCCTTGGGAAACCGTTCAGGGTAGGCTGGCTAGTGGAGCGGCATCCGGATCACGATGCACGACGCGGGTACCGACAAGTAGCCATATTCTACCTTGATAACTTTGAACTGCGTGGCTTCTGGCGACTTGTGGTGAAAACGGGCTCTTCCGTCACGGATGCATTGGTGCTACGGGCGGTCTATTTTGTCCCTCTTGGATGTGCACACCATTCCTCGGTTTCTACGCCAATTCGGGCTGCCTCGTTGGACCTTTAAATATAGCCAGGCTGTCTTCTGCCGCTGATCGCCTATTCCCATTGGCCAAACATTGTCCTCCTCGAAGGGTCCTCCTCGAAGGGTCCACTGCTCCCGTGGAAATTAGCCTGACGCTGAAAAAGCCAAATATGGGCATGCAAAGCTTTCTAGAGCCCGCTGACTAATGAATCCAGTCTAGCCCGATGAAGCTTCGACCCCCGACTTTGTACCAGTAAAAACGGCTTCTCAAAGTGCCATGTTGGAATTACACCAAGTAATGCGCAAATTCGACATTGCCATCTAGTATCGGAATTACGTATCGCCGACTCCGCTAGTCCATAGCCCTCAGCTCAGAAAAAACGCGCTCAGTTCCTCTGACAACTACCGACATCGAGAGAAGGAGGTTCTCCGGCTTGCGTCTGTCGAATGCGGCAAAGAATTGTGCAACTTCCTCAGACCCAGCACCCTGAGCGAACATGTTGTCCACGATAGCTACAAACTGTCTCTCTTTATCCGATCTGGTGGGCAAAAATGCGTCTTTTTGCGTTCCGTTACGACCATGTTTGGCGTACAGTCCGCAGCATAAGCCGCGGAGCGAGATCGGTACAAAAAAGTAACTATGACGAGCTCCCAGTCACGACATACGCTTACCACTATAAGGCATATTTCGGACTAGACAACGATACCTCCCAACAATACTCGCCCATCGTGTTGACGACAGCACAGTCCGTGCACCCCTTGACATTTCCCGCCCACGACATTTTCCCAGGCCAACGCTTTCTTGTCGAGCGACTTTGCTCACCGGCTTCTTGGTTTGCCAGCTCGATTACGAGCCGGAATGATGCCAAACAGATGTCTGGTCTAGTTGCAATGGCCGCCTTCCCGCTGCTACCCTGACATGGCCCTTTCGGCCGGCCATTCGTGCTTTGGCTCGTCTCCCAAGCATCACAAGACCGGGAAATGACCTGTGCCATCGACCTAGAGATTGTTTGCTCATTGTCAATAGATTTTCTCGAGACCTCGTCGTTGGCTTGACGCTGTACGTGATGGCGCCTGACGATTCTGCGCCGAACATGCAGAACTTCTGCAGCATCTGCGACACGAGAGGCACGCTGATTTCATGGTGCACTCTCCTTTCCAGAGGTTTTCGTGTGCCGCCCCTGCACGGCGCTCGCGAGCCTGGGGCCACGACGAGCGGAGCCAGTGCGCTGCGTTGCATAGTTGTCGGCCTTCTTCGAACCCAAGAGCATTGCGCGTAGAAGAACGCATTTTGCAGTGCATGATTGGTAAACATTGCACCCGTGCCACGTCGACCGACGTTAGGACCCACGCGATCGCGGACTGCATTCGAGCGCGATGGTGCAAGTACGTTCCCACGTTGCAGTACATTTGAGTCAAAGCCAAGAGAAGAATGGCACATTGTATTACATTCATTTTCTAGACGTATCTTGTATTGTACAATTATTCCTTGTCCCCGCCATACATGTCAGTCCCCTCGCGAAGCCAACGGCAGGGCCGTCCCCATGCCCACACGAGCGGTGCAGGTCATCCAGCGTGCAGGCGTGCCTATACTATGAGGTTTTGCTTACCGGCTTCATCCGACTCAATGGATGTCTCGCAAGCGAGAAGGGTCAGGAGAAATCCGACGCAGCTCAGGCCGGTCAGAACAAGAAACATGGCCCGAAACGACTGTTCGTACGCGCTCAGGATATCGGCGAGCTCAGCCGGCGACAGATCCAACTCTCTCAGTCGCGGGATCGAGCCCAAGGCTTGGTTTTCTTGCAACAGAAGGCGAAGCGTAGGCGGCATGTCGCTGAGGGTAGCCACCGAGCTGCTGAACTGGTTGCTGAACGCGGCGGCGGAGACGGCGAGCCCCACTGCCGCGCCGAACAGCCAGAAAGAAACCAGAATGCCTACTGCGTGGCCGTGGGCGTCGGGCTGCGTACTGGCCTGCATCATGATCGGCAGGGCCGTAAACAGAGAACCAAGCCCGATCGCGACCATGGCCTCGAAGCCCACCGTCTGCGCGAGGGTCGTGTGCGCTCCCCACAGCGTGCAGAGACCGAGACCGAGACTCGGAAACAGCCACGACAGCCTGACCGCCCAGACGTAGCGGCGCGTCCATTCGATGCCCACGGCCGCGATGCCCGTGAACGCCATCAGAATGACGTAGAAAGGAAGAAGAGACACGGACGACCGGAGGGGAGCCTCCAGGCTGACAGACTGGAAGAACAACGGGAGGTGGAAGATGAGCGTGTAGAAGATCATCCCGTGCAGGAAGCTGAGAGCCAGCGCGCCAGCGGCGGTGCGGGTGCGGAAGATGCGGTAGGGGAGAATGGGCTGGGCGGCCCCCGACTCGTACCAGGCAAACGCGCCGAGAACCGCGACGCCGACGAATAGCGGAAGCAGCGTCCTCCACGAATCGCCCGGGTACATGGCCCCCGCCCAGCTCAACGGCAGGGTCAGGGAGACGGCGCCGACCACGAACAGGGTGAGGCCGCGCCAGTCGAAGCCTGCGAGCTGCTGCGAGAGACCGCCCTCGAGCGGCTTTAGCGTGAGGCAGAAGATGGACAGCGGGAGACAGAGAGCGACGAGAGGCAGGTTCATCCAGCCGATCCATCGCCAGGACGCGAACTCGCCCAGCAGCGCGCCCACGACGGGGCCGAGGACGCTCCCCAACGCGAACGGGATAGAGACCAGGCCGATGTAGAAGGCGCGCTCCCGCAGCGTGGTGATGTCGGCCACGAGAATCTCGTTCAGGACGTCGATGCCTCCGCACCCGGACCCTTGCAGCGCACGAGAGAGGATCACGACGGGAAGAGACTGCGCGGTCGCGAAGAGGACAGACCCCGCCGTGAAGAGGAAGAAAGCAACGTAGAGCGGTAGCTTGCGCCCGACGGCCTCCGAGAGGCCCGGTGTACACGGGCAGCACGACCGTGACGACCCAGCAGAAACGAGGCATTCGCCCAGAACGCCTCCAGGTACGTTCCGTCAAACTCTTCCGCTATTTTCTGGGTCTTGCGTCAGCTGATTGCTGCAGGCTGGGCCGCGGCGGCGGACTCACAGGTATGACAACCGCCAACGCCGTGGCATCGATGGAGACGATGAAGACCATGAGCAGGATGGACAAAAAAGCAAGATGGAATTTGAGTGGCTTTTGGAGCTTCTCCCGAGCGTTGAACCCTTTCTGCAGGTCATGATCCTCCAGCGAGGAGGGGGTCTCCGGTGCCGTGCTAGGCGTGCTGGCTGGGCTGGGCATGTTGGCTTTGCTGGGCATGTTGGCTTTGCTGGGCATGTTGGCTTTGCTGGGCATGCTGGCCGTGCTGCATCCCGCAATGGCATCCTGCGGCGTAGAATCTGGGAGTGACAGCACACGAGCCGTTCGTGCGCAATGCAAGCTGCTGCCAGTGGTCGTGGCCAGATCGCTTTGTGCGCAACCGCATTGCGTATTATACGGCTGGGTTCTGTCTGCTGCCGATGGAGTCAAAGGCAGGAGCTGTTTCGGGCCGTTGAAGATCCGCCACTCGTCTCATGGCTGGGTAGCCACCCCTCACCACCATGCGTGGCCAGCCAACCCATCATGCCCGGCCGAATTTGGCTACGTACCATGGTGAAGACATAATCTGGAGAGAAAGAACAAGGTAGTTGCTTCAGACGCTGGGAGCCAAGATCTCATGTCATTATGCTCGCGGCTCCCACGTCAGCCAACACACCTACCAGTTCGCAAGTAGGTTCTGCCATATCGATCCACGCCACGCTCCCACAGAAAATCCACGAGCTATTCTCCAAACATCGTATGCTGCAGCAATGTGTGGTTTCGTCGTCGTGTATACTCACACCGCGGCTGCCGATACGTCCTCGGCCCGGACCGAGTCGCCGGCAGACGGGAAGAGCGACACAGTGTCTGCTCTTGCAAGGCAGCTTGAAAGGTCTCTCGAGCTGATCAAGCATCGAGGGCCGGACGGCTGTGATGTTTAAGGTCAACGCTGCGGCGACGGTAAGGTCTCGGGCACTGCCGACTCGCCATCAACGACACGTCCCCGTCGGGGTCCCAGCCACTGCACAGCGCCGATGGTCAGGTCCACGCGGTCGTCATCGGAGAAATCTACGAGTACGAGAAGCTGCGACGGTACTGCGAGGACACCGGGTACGCGTTTCGCGGCCGCAGCGACAGCGAGCTTGTGCTGGCCCTCTACAGCATCCACGGCGCGCTTGGGCTCTTTCGGCATCTCCGCGGTGAGTTTTCCTTCGTGATCGTGGACGAGAGAGCGCATGCCAGGAAGGTTGTAGCCGCAAGAGACAGATTCGGCATTAAACCGCTGTTCTGGACCGTGCAGCAGGGCAGAGCCTTATTCGCAGCCGAGGCGAAGGCGTTCCTCGGGCTAGGCTGGGCCCCGGAGTGGGACGTCGACAGCATAGCTACGTCTGCCTGGCTGGCAGAGGACAGGACCGTGTTTCAGGGCGTGCAGAAGCTTGCGCCAGGCCACTGGATGGAGATCGGGCCGGAATCCGCCCTCGCGGACCTGCGCACCAGGCCGTACTGGGATCAGCAGTATGCCTCCAACTCGGCTACGGACCGCGACGGGAAGGACGACGAGGTGTCCATCGCTCAAATGATTGAGGATGTCCGTGAGAAGCTGGTCGACGCCGTGCGCGTCCGCCTTCGGGCAGACGTCCCCATGGGTCTCTACCTCTCGGGCGGCATCGATTCCTCCGCCGTCGCTGGAATCGTGGCGCATCTTGTGAGTCAGGAGGGCAGGATGTTTGGCAGCTGCCGAGCGGATGACGCCGATCATCCACCTCGGATCAAGTGCTTCACCGTTGGCTACACCGATGCCACGTATGATGAATCAGGTGAGCTCCAGCGGCGGACGCTACACGCTTCGCAAACAATCATGTGCTGACCCATGGGTCATCCGCCCCGGCAGACATTGCCGCGAGAACAGTGAAATAGCTTAGCAAACGATTCGGGCTGCGGGTCGAGTGTCACAGGCTCGAGATGGACAATCAGAAGCTCGCCGACAACTTTGAGGACTCTGTACATCACACCGAGCATCACATCTTCGACCTGAACACCACAGCCAAGTCTGTGTTGTCGAGTCTGCCGCGGGAGCATGGGATCAGGTCCGTGCTGTCCGGAGAGGGATCGGACGAGCATTTTGCGGGGTACTCCTACTTTACCGCGGATTTCTTGCAAGAAGCTGACCACAGCATGGCGGGCTCGGTCCTAGTCAATGACGGCGTGCGGCTGGCGCTGCAGTCGCGCGTGATTTCCGAAATGACAGACATAGTCAGGCTGCAAGGTCCAGAGATACGCCCGTGCAGGACTGGATCCCTCAAGTGGCATGACGCTTCCCGCAGTGCTTTCGCTGTTCCCGCAGGGTAGGATCTTTGCCGACTGGGTGCTCGGCGCGCGGCGATCCGTGCCGGGCTCGAGGCTCCGCTCCTTCTTTGCCGCCAAAGACAAGATGGAGCGCTGGGACCCGCTGCATAGGTCGCTGTACATGTGGACGAAGACACTGCTGCCGAACACCATCCTGACTAGTCTCGGGGACCGGCCCGAGCTGATGCACAGCATAGAGGGACGGCCGCCTTTTCTCGACATGTCAATGCGTTGCCTCCCAGCGTCAAAATGCGGTACGCGCCAGACGAGGGTCAGGACCTTGCGCAGGGCAACGCGGACGATTAGTGGTGGAAGAGCTCGGGTCCTGGCCTGCGATCCGTCACCGAGAAATGGATCCTGCGTGAGGCGGTGCGGCCATTTGTGTCGGAAGACATGTACAGACGCAGAAAGGTCATGTTTCTCGAGCCCATCCGATGGGCCAAGGGTGGTCCGCTTCATCTCACGTTCCGGCGGATTCTGACGGAGGAGTCGGTCTGAGAACTGGGGTTCGTCCACTGGCCGTTTGTGCGGGACGCCCTGGAGCGCGGCTTCGGCGAGGCGGCTGACGGAGCTTGCTTTAGGACCGTCGTATACGCCACCAGCTGGGTGACCCTTTCCGATCGACTCAAGAAGGCGCAAGAGCAATCGCGGTCTGAGGAAGCCTGAGTGGGCGTTTCGGATAGCGGAGTGTGCGCTTTGCACAGGGTACCAGGATGGTGGCTAGCTCTAGTACAATACGAAGTGTGTAGATTGAATGCTACCTTTTCCTATCTGCCACTACCGTCACTGCTCGAGACTGCCCCCCCCTCCCCAACATGGTCATCGCTGCAGCACGTAAGGAGGCTTGGACAGTCGTCGCCGGCTCGTCAGAGCGGAAGAGGTCAAGAGCGAAGCCCGGACAAACAAGGTACCGCCATCGGGCCTTCACCGAACTCCAGCCCCCTTCAGGCTACGGACAGTACACGGTACTCCCTTGTCCGTGACCAGCCTGCCAGGTTGGCCGACGAGACCTGCTGCCAAAGGCAGGAACTCTATTCCGAGGT